CTCCTCATAAAGACCTAACAAGGGACGTCGTTCAAGGTATGCCAAGCTTTTCAAAAACGATCTTTCACATGATATTGGGGGGACATGCGGGAACCACAGAACCATGGTCAATATTTCCTGAGCGGTCCTCTGAGCTACCAGAAAAGGGGGGGTCCCTAGTTCGATTCCTCGTGGTGACAAATTTTTGCATTTCGAGTTGACGTTTCAAAATTCGCGCAAAATGGAGTTAGCATGAATAATTAGTACCATATTCATGATTAGGACCGTCAGTAACCCTTACAAATAGACTTTGATTGAAAAACTGGTGAAAAAGGTGTGACACCACAGTGGGGCTGCTTGGTGTCACACCTTTTCACCATTTTTAATCAAAGTCTATTTGTAAGGGTTACTGACGGTCCTAATCATGAATATGGTACTAATTATTCATGCTAACTCCATTTTGCGCTAATTTTGAAACGTCATTCGAGAGAATTCGACGGTGAAGGCGTTGGAATGAATTCATCTTCCTCAGCATGCGTAATGAGGAGGTTCTTCGACATCCGACTTTTGATCATACGACCATCTACGATTGGCTTGGGTGGCGCATTCACCGTCACCACCGAGGATGATTGTGGAAAACAAGACGGTCTGCTATTCGCATTTATTTTTGAGCCCGTACATCTCTTGAATGTGTTTTCATCGAAGAACCAGCCTCTTCAGCTTCCTTCTCGCAGGTCTGCTCAAAGTTCTTTACTTCTATGTCAGTAAATATTCGTTTGGAAGACAAATTTGTAGCGGCTCTATCCGGCTGCACAGTAGTTGGTAGAATCACATGGCTTCGATTGGCATATGTAGTTGTGGTCGTTTCCACAGTCTTCACTGAACCATCCAGATCTGTAATGAACAGTGTGCTCCATAGTGTTCATAAAGCACAGTTGATCAATAGCTCACTTGTCCGGTTTTGTGGTTCAGAATAAATTACACCTCGGGACGAGCACGCCGATGGGTACCCGACAGGAGGCCCGTCGCGCGGCAAGAAGGCAAAGTCAGCGGACGAGTCGCAGCGCGTACTAGGGATTTCGCGTCAAGTTAAATAGAATGTACCATTGTACGTCCTACATCGCACATCACGCGCTGCGACTCGTCCGCTGACTCTGCCTTCTTGCCGCGCGACGGGCCTCCTGTCGGGCACCCGACGTGACGAGACGCTATGGAAGTAACACACACTTTCCATCTTAGCACACATGTCAAGTCACTGACCTCACCCCTCACTGAATAGGTTAGACTCTCCCCGATTCACGGATTCCCCGATTCTTGTGGCACCATAGCAGCGGGCACCGTCCCCACGTATGTACATACATTTCGCGCCTACCGTATTCAAAAAATCGGTGTGTCCGTCCCGCTTGCATTGCACCAAAATCAAGGTTTTTTTTTTTGGAAATATTTCAACTCTTCTGAAGTGTTTACAGTGGTTTTTGTTTACTTTAAAAGTATGGCGAATCCGTTATGCAATACCTTGTAGCTTGGAGTTTAGTATGGTGAGTGGTGGGTGGGCAGACAAAACGTTCAATGCATGAAAACTAAACCCGAAAACTGCACGATTTTGTCTTCATGGGTTTTCCCAACGTACACCATTTTCCTCTGTTTCACTGGTATATATACAGGGTGGCCAGAAATCACGGTAACAAGATGAACGGTCCATAGAGTTAACACAGAGTCAACCGTGCGTTGCGCAGTTCTCAACGGCACGTTGAGAGATCCTCAACGCACGCTGTATGGGCGGAGACACAGACGGCTCGAGCATGCGAGTGTGAATGTTCGCGCGAGAGAACGTGTCTAATCGGGCGAAACTGCGCAACGTGGCCGTTAACGAACTGCGCAACGCACGGTTGACTCTGTGTACAACTAGAAAAAGACACGTGGAAAGCAAAGACATATTCACGAAGTGGGATAAACAAAGAATGCAGTGATAGACCCATACCGACTAGCAACAACCTACTCTCACGCCCACTCTCTCCTCTACTCCTCCTCTTTCTCTCCATCCTCTTCCTCTCTCTTCCTATCGCTTTCCACTCCTTTCCACTCTGCTCCTCCCCTCCTCCGGCTCTCCTCCAGCTCCCCCACTATCTACTTCCGTGCCATCTCCCTATCTCCCTCGCCTCTATCCTTTACCCCACTCCCTCTAATCTCCTCTCCTTCTCTTACCCCTGTCTTCTTTCACCTCCCTTGCTACACTCTCTCCCCTTCTCTCTCCTCCCCTCGATCTCTCTACTTCTACCACCGCTCCCCTCTACTCCCTCTCGTACCCTCCCCTACGATCGCTTGAATAGCAATGAGTCTTCCAGGGCGAGATGAGCTGACGCGCGTGTGATAGACGACTCGAGCGCTGTTCCAGGCATTATGAATCGATTTCTGTAGAATCACAAGGTCCACATGAGTCAGCAAGCAGGTCTGCTTCGTCTTCCCAGCTCGTACGTAAGCGTAAACACGACCTGACCTAGAACTTAGTTCGGGCCCTTCCCAACGCAATAATCTCCTGACAGTTCAGTGGTGAGACTTCGCTACAATTTCGACACAGTGTCACGTGAGCGTCTTCAATTTCTTCCCTCATTGCTCAGGAATCATATGAGTAAGAGAAACTTCAAGATAATCCTTTCTCTTCGATTTTACGCTTTGTGGAACAAAATTCAAAAGTGACATGATTTTCGATTTCATCACTCCAAAAACTTTCACTGTTTCCCAGATCCAATGATGCCTGAGATTTTAAGCTTCGGGTAGGTTAATATGCAGTTTTTGTCGCGCTATCTATTCCAACAGATGAACATGAGACTGTGAACTAACTTAATCACGGTAAAAATGATGTTGCAAATACTGGAAGTTGAGACAGGCCTCCGTCAGCTTAAGTCTATTTCGTTATCGGTCTGAAATGGAAGAGACGAGCTTTCTCCATGTGCTCATCCGGCTTAGCCAAGGGATGTCAGACGACTCCTTGCGAAGAAGTGCACCTGATCGCTAACACGGGAGAAGACGACGGGTTGAATGTACTAGAGTCCATCGCTGCTTCGCGCTTACTTCGTCAATATTGTTCTTGGGAACAAAAGAAGCTTCTCTTCCACGTCCATCCAATCATTCCTAGCACCTAGTCGATTGTTCTTCGCAATGGTGGTTGTTGCAGTTTCCTGAAGATCCTGATTCGCTTTGCAACGTAACACCACCAGACACGTTGACGAAGCAAGCGAGTCGTTATTTCATGAAGAGCTAAAGGCTTGAACAATCCAAACTAGATAAATTTGAGTGGTAAAATTAAAGAATGAACATCGTAAATAGAATCAAATGCGCAAAAGCTACACTCAAAACCCATCCGTTTAATTCTAAAATTGTATGCGATATTCTCTTGTTACCGTGATTTCTGGCCACCCTGTAGAGCCGCTCGGAGGAATGAAACCTCATTTCTCTATTCCTATGCACACAGCTTAGAACATGCAGAAGAGTTTATCTAATTGATCTTCTCCTTCTGCAAGGTCTACCTTGTGAGTAGAACATGTTGACTGTTGAAGTTACGGGTGGCGATTAGAACTTAAACAGGTTATCTCCAAAAGTCAGGTAGCAGGACCCTCAGTCACATGGGTGGTTTGCTGCCGCGAATTAAAAAAGTGCGACAAGGGAGCTAGTGCCTTCCGCTTGACCGCTGCGACCGCTGCCATTTTACCAATCGCAGCATACGTGGCGTCTGCGCCCTCTCGCGTACGACGTGCTATCTCGCGTTTTCCCTCTCCTCGCAGCGCTGTGTCTCTCCGTCGTACCACGGTCGGCCTCCAAGGGAATTTCAGTTTTCTATGATACTTTTTACTTTTTTTCGCTATTGTTCGTCTTCGCACTTTTTTTCCAAACAAAGTAACACACCAATATGATCGCGACCAGTACCTTTGAGAACGATTTTGTTTGAAAGTGCGGCACGAAGATTAGATTTACATTAGCTATCATGCCCCTCCAGGTGACTTCTGTACACGAAAGGGCCTATAACTTAACAATATGGTAGCAAAAAACCAAGTGCACTAACTTTCAGGGCGTGCCAAGCTTTTTCAAAACGGTCTTTTGCATGATATAGGGGCACATGCGGGAACCACAGAACCATGTTTAATTTTTCCTGAACGGCCCTCTGAATACCAGAAAAGGGGGTCCCTAGTTCGATTCCTCGTGGTGACAAATTTTTGCATTTCGAGTTGACGTTTCAAAATTCGCGCAAAATGGAGTTAGCATGAATAATTAGTACCATATTCATGATTAGGACCGTCAGTAACCCTTACAAATAGACTTTGATTGAAAAACTGGTGAAAAAGTTGTGACACCAAAGTGGGTAGTTTTTGTTTCAAACTTGTTCTCCAGTTTTTTAATCAAAGTCTATTTTCAATCAAAGTTTATTTGTGAGGATTACTGACGGTCCTAATTATGAATATGGGCATTCATTGTTCATGCTAACTCCATTTTGCGCGAATTTTGAAACGTCAACTCGAAATGCAAAAATTTGTCACCACGAGGAATCGAACTAGGGACCCCTTTTTGGTATTCAGAGGCCGTTCAGGAAAGAATTAACCATGGTCTTTGTGGCATTGTGCCGCCTTAATCCTGCCGAAGAACGTTTTGCAAAGCTTGGCACGCCCTGAAATACCTTCCTGGTAAGTGGTGAAGTATCGTCGATGATTCTGAACTTCTTCTTAACTCTCGAAAGTGTTTCAAAAATACATCGGTGTACTAGATAACGGATAAGTAATATTAAGCAGTTGGTAAAACAAAACTGTTTATGGAACGAAACCAACTGACCTGAATCCGGTGTACTGCTGCATGTAAGCACAAGTGCCCACTCTGTAGTCTGGTTGACCCGGTGCCCAGTTGGTGAAGCCGGCCTTGAAATGTTGTATCCAGCAATTAAGTGCATGATGTATGATTTTTTTAATTGACCAATAGAAGTAGTTTGTGTTATGGTGTAGTGGGCGTCCTGATGTGGACGAATCGAAAGCTGGTCAGTCACACGGGATTGCCTTAGAGCAGGGCAAGATTTTTTAAGTTCGTGTTATGGTAGAATCTTTTGGAGGCCAATGTCGATAAGCTTTGCGAATCGCTCGATCCGAGCGTTGCACCAGCGAATCGAACTTTGCGCCAGCGAGTCGAACGATGTACCAGCGAGTCGAACTAGGTACCAGCGACTCAATAGTGGCGGGACCCAACGTTTAAAGGAAGCCCGCCACTTTCAAACAGTGTCACGTGACAGTGGACGCTGTTTGAAAGTGGCGGGACTTGCAGTGGACACTGTTTGAAAGTGGCGGGCTTCCTTTAAACGTTGGGTCCCGCCACTATTGAGTCGCTGGTACCTAGTTCGACTCGCTGGTACATCGTTCGACTCGCTGGCGCAAAGTTCGATTCGCTGGTGCAACGTTCGATTCGCTGGCGCAACGCTCGGATCGAGCGATTCGCTAGCGAATCGCTCGATTCGCAAACTATGACATCGGCCTAAGCTTTATCCGCATCTTTAGCCCGATCGCAGGCTTAAATATGGCTTGGCCCTTGCTGCCGCAAGCCTTCTAATCAGTCTGTATAATTGCCGAGGGATTTAGCTAGTTAGCATGATGAGTTTCTGTCCATAGGTACGGATACAAGGGGAATCAATCAAACTTGAGCCCTCAAAAGTTTTCCAAAAACTTTTAGGGTGGAGGGGAAGAGTAACGGTTGCACAAAAGTGGTCCAGTCGAATTTATCGATTCTTCGTATACTGAGAATTTATACGAAATTTATTCAACTCTTCTGAGGAACTTACTGAGTAGCCTCCTGGCCAAACCCACTGGCTGCCGTCGTACTGTAGACCCAACCAGAACTTTGTCTTTGACGAGAACACTGAAAATAAATACTATAGGGAGTGGCATTTATCTATCAGTTCTATTTTGAGTGTGTCAATTTTGTGAGGGAATATCCTTCCATTCTTGGCTCTGAATTGAACCCTTTCCGGGTAATCATGTAAATATGCAAATATGTACGCTCACCACCCATCAAAAAGAAATCCTTGCTGGAGTCTTCATCGAGAACAAGAATAGAATCTTTATCCGGAAACACGTGCGATTTGCCAACATCTGTAAAATGTCCTGTTAGATTATGTGAAGAGATAAGGAATCGTTCGTAGCCTCCTCCTTTCTTTGATTC